CGTCTGCCAGCGTGCCGGGGCGAGTCACTGCCCGCCCTGGCCGCAGCGGGCGCGCAGGGAGGCCGGGCCACGTCGTCTCCTGAGGCCCTGGACCTTGCACCCCCTGAGCCTTCAGCCGTGTTTGTCGACTGGACAAGACAGGCTACACCCGTGCAAAGTGTTGGGGACTTTGGCTTTTTCTTAGGGGTGTGGGGTGACCGTAACAAGCGTTCAAGGGCACGTTTCATGGAAAGCGCCTTTTGTCGTTTTCTAGACTCTGCGTGTGGCCGTGCTCCTTACCGCTGCCTTAGTCCTGCCTCCCGGCCAGGAGCTCCACCGGCCGCTGTGAGGAGAGCGGTTTTGAGGGGCGACGTCTGCCCAGGCAAGGGGAGGCGGCGTCCTGTTGTTCATTCCAGCAGCCAGGAGCTCCTGCTGTATGCAGATGGGTTTCGTCACATGTGAATCTCCGGCCCTTTTTGCAAATCCACGATGTTTCTGTCTGGGTCAGCATCTTCACTGGGCAAGATCTGGGGCCACTTTGCGCCCCCCACGGAAGAGCCGCAGCCTCCGGCCTGCAGGGTTGAGTGTCCCGGAGGGACAAGCCCTCCTCCAGGCTGCACTCACACCTGTGCCTCGGCATCATGACCGGCCTCTTGTGGGGTGGGGGGTGGTCATTAATAAGTGGTTCAGGAAAAAATTCCCCTAGTAAAGAAATCCTGGGAAAGACAGAAAAGTGAAAAGGAAGCTCTGCAGACAGCTTGCTTGAGCAGTGAACCTTCTGAACTGGCGCCTGCTCGAGGCCATCTTTTGGGGGGTAGGCTTTACCCAGTCGCCGGCATCCAGGGACAGCCTGGCGCTGTGGCCTCCGGCGGCCCCGCGCGGCTTGGGTCCTGCGCCAGGAAACCGTGACCCAGGCCAGCCCTGCGGTTTCCCAGACCACTTAAAGTCTCGCCCTGGCCTGTCCGCCCCCACCCCCCCGCCCCGTCAGCAGTCAGCCGAGAAGTTGGCCTTTTTCTTTAAAGAATGTCGTAGTTCTTGTTCGTGCCGCACCTCTAAGTAAACATTTTCTCTTGAAGCTCTGGCCTTAGAACAGCTGCCGGCTGCGTCCAGGCGGGCGGGGTTGAGCCCCCCAGCTCTGTCTTGGCTCAGCCTTGCTGCATTGTTTCATCCGTCTTGATGTCCGAGTGAGACTTCACGCCCCTCCGTGGGAACAGGCCGGGGAAGACTGGCTTTGTGCGGTCGCAGGAAGAAGGAAAACCTGTCCCAGGCATGATACCTTTCCTTTGAAAGCTTATGAATGTATTTCTACATTCCTACGAGAAATAAACGTTTTTCCCTTAAGAGACTGAGTTTTCCCTTGTGCTAAGAGTAAGCCGCTCTCTAGCATAGTTGGTGGCGCAGCACAGGAAGGGAGGGTGTGTCGTGGTGTCTGGAGAGCTGCCACCGCTGTTGGTTTAAGGCTGGCTGAGGGCGGGGAGGGCCAGGCTCCGCTGCCAGCACCACTCTCCTGCCTCCTCTTCCCAGCATGGGATTAAAAAAAAAATATATTTCTTTAAACTTTATTTTTCTCCTGAAATTTCTTGTAAAAAGCACCTCAGGACCCTCCCTAGTCGCACAACACTATGACGCCGTCCACAGCTGTTGCAGCAAGAGTTCGATCCCCGGCCAGGGAGGGACCCGCAGGGCCCAGCAGACCTCTCCTGTCTCCCCGCTGCGCCCCTCAGCAGTGTTTCAGTCACTCTGCCTGTTCTGCTCCCCACTCTGTCTATGTGGAATCCTCTTACCACTCCCACACTTCTGGCCTGTACCCCGGCTCATGTGTGCAGCCTTCAGTCACTTTAACTGTGGTTTTAACAGGATTCAGCTTGGTGCTTTCTGCCTGAAGGGTGGGACAGCGTGTGTTACTGAGCCGTGAGATCAAAGTGTAACGGGGGTCCCTAGGAAGAGGGGAAGTTCCAGGTTCCCTGCCCCACCCAGAAGGAGGGTGGAGCTGAGCAGAGAATGAGGAGAAGAGAAGGAAGCTGGATGGAGAAGGAGGCCTGAGGGAGCCACAGGGAGCAGCAAGCAGGTGAGGAAGAAACCGGGCTTGTTTCCTGACCCTGGACTGGCGAAGGCAGATATGGGGGAGAGACCTGTAGGGAGGTGACCGTGGCCGTGTTGATCCTGATTTTGATGTTGCTCTTTTCCTCCCAGACTTGTCTGGCCATGTCTGACCCTTTTCCATGGGTCCCGGCCAGAAGGTGCTTTAGTCTAGTGGCCGCTTTCAGGCCTTGCTTTGGGCCCATCCCTTTTGGGGGGACTTTGGCCCACGAGGGGATGGGTCACTTCAGGTGTTTGATTTACAAGTTCTATTCTTTGTCTTTCGTGTTGTATATTCACTGTATTAAAGTCCCTTTTCATTAAAGTTTTATATGTTTTGTCTTGTTGCGGCGGATGGCAGAACCCACTTAGAACAGGGAGATTTGGGGTTCAGGGGTGCCCCTCTCTCCCTGCCCTGTAACAGATTTGCTATCCTGTAACGAAAGGAGTCAGAAACTTGTTTCCACACAAAGCCCTGCAGGTGGCTCTTCAGAGCAGCTTTATTCATCATTGTCAAGATCTGAAAGCAGCCAGGCAGATGCAGGGAGAGACTGAGGCTTCTCCCGGCAGTGCGTGGTTAGCGCTGACCAGGAGCGAGCCCTCATGGAAGAGGGAAGGAGCGGAAATGCCGCTAACTAACTGGAAGAAGCCGGTCTGAAAAGGTCACTTGGCGTCTGAGCTCGATGGCATGACGTCCTGGAAAGGGCCAAACTAGGGACTAGGGTGATCAGTGGTTGCGTGGGGAATGGGGGAGGGGAGG